AGAGATGACTGGCCATAAACACAGGAGCCCAAATTAGTTTTAAACTTTTGTTGTTGTTAATCCTCACCCAAGGATATTTTTTCCATTGATTTTTAGAGTGGAAGAAAAGGAGGAAGAGAGAGAGAGAAACATCAGTGTGAGAGAGACACATCGATTGGTTGCCTCCTGCACGACCCTGACTGGAGCTGGGGATCAGACTGCATCCCAGGTACGTGCCCTTGACCAGGAACAGAACCAGAGACCCTTGGATCCATGGGCCAATGCTCTAACCTCTGTGCCAAACCAGCCAGGGCAGTTTTAAACTTCACTACATCCTTTCCAAAAGTCCTCAGAAAGTAGAACTCATGTAACTAACACATAAGAAGTTAGGTGGTCTACATCAGCAATATGCTTTTTTTTTTTATCCTCACTCGAGGACATTTTTCCATTTTTTGTTCAGATCGAGTGGGAGGGAGGGAGAAAGAGAGAGAGAGACTCATTGACGTGAAAGGGACACATCGAGTGGCTGCCACCCACACAACCAACCAGGGCCGGGGACAAACCGTAACCAAGGTACACGCCCTTAGCGGAACCGAACCCAGGTCTCTCTGGACTGCAGGCCGACGCTCTAACCACTGAGACAAACCGGCCAGGGCAGCAATATGCATTTTTAAAAATGGCGCCACCAGGGAGCAAAGCAAATGACTGCCGCCACCGGCAAACAGGACTTCCTGAGCCTGACGACAAAACCTATAAAGTCACCAACAGCACAGGTAAGTTCGCTCAGATTGCTTGACCACACTAAAATTAGAACAGCCAAAACCAAATGCATGTTTTAAAAGATAGGATAAACAAGAAACTACTACTTCACAAGCAAGAAATAAACTCGTCAACCAAGAGATAAAAGACAACAAACATTTAACAGAATCAGACGAGGCTCGGAGAACCCACGACATCCTCACTTCAGAGCCGGCAGAAGGCAGCTGTCGAGACCCAGGTCTGACCCCAGGGGTGAGGACTGCCCTGGGCCCCAAGTTCAAGATGTCCCATGCATAAGGTCAAGTCTATTGTTTCACTCTACACTTTATTTAACATTGATCTGTGGCAAAAAAAGGAAGTATTAAGTATTTGTGAAAATAAAGCCAGGTCAGAATGGAAGACTGCACTCAGATGTCGGTCTATCCTGCCTCCTGAAACCTCCATTCAAATCCTGGCCAAGGAAACCTCGATAGGGGGAGGCCACTAGTCCACGCACAAGCGTGACGGATTTATGAGGCTGAGATCAGAAGGGGATTGGTGGGTGAAAAGAAGGGAAGAGGGGGCTGCAGAGGTGGGGTGATTGCCTAGCGGGGTCCCCAAATCGGCAGACCAAGCAGCAGGGGCTGGACAGGGAGAGGACGTGGAGGTCTGTCTAGGAAAGTCCCCCTCCTGCGGGAATCAATGCGTCTGTCACCACAGCTCCTCCCCTTAAAGAAACAGTATCTGGGGAGAACCAGGAGGCCAGCCTGGCAACGGCCCCCAGAGTACGCGTTCCCCGGCCTGGGCACTAGGGGTCCTCAGCCTCATGACTGGTTTTCCACATTGACCCCAAAGTCCAGCCTGCTGTTTCCACTTGTGTACATGGAGCTCCTGGAGACCTTTCTATTCCTGTAAGTATATGGCTGGATGAGGTCACTGGATGTGTGTGAAAAACTGCACCTTAAAAAAAATAAAGAACAGCCCTGGCCGGTTTGGCTCAGTGGTTAGAGTGTCGGCCTGCAGTCCAGAGAGACCCGGGTTCAGTTCCCGCTAAGGGCGTGTGCCTCAGTTGCAGTTTGTCTCCGGCCTCAGTTGGGGTTGTGTGGGTGGTGATCACTCAATGTGTCTCTCTCACACTGATGTTTTTTTCTCTCTCTCTTCCTCCCTTTGGCTCTATGAATGCAAAAAAATTGTCCTCAGGTGAGAATTAAAAAAAGAAAGAAAGAAAAAGGACCAGTTAGAGACAAAGGAAGATATTGTTTCTCACACATGTGCGCACACACGAGTTAGGAAATAAAGTCGAGCCCACTAGTGTGCGTCTCAGGAGGCACAGAACTTCCCACCTGGTCACGGCTGTGCCCTGAGAACCTACAGTCGTGCTGGATAAATCACAGGTGATGCAGAAAGGAAGACACAGGAGAGGGAGAGAGGGAGGAGGAGCTGAGAGAAAATAAAGATGGAGAATACAGGAAAAGACGAGGCAGACGTGAATCGAGGTGCGAAAGCTGGCGGAGGAGTTCCGGAAGGGCAAGAACAGCAAACACAAGAGAATATTAACCGCAGAGATTCCAGCAACACATTTCCAGAGCTAAAGGGACAAGTCCTCATGGAAAGGCTACTGGGTGGCAGCAGGACAAATGGGAAGGACCCACATTAGACTCACAACCGTGTTATTTGACACTATGGATAAAGAGAATATCCTCTCGGGGGGGGGGGGGGCGCCTGTTACAAAGAGATGATCATCAGAATAACACCAGTTTCAACAGCAAGACTAGATGCTTGAAGACAGTGAAGAAAAGCCTCCCAAGATCTAGGGGAAAATTATTTTGAACCTAGATTTCTATTCCAAGCCAAACTAGCCATTAAATAAAGGGCAAAAGTGGCAACACCATCACACCTAGCAAGACTGCAGCCACCATGAAGTGCCCTTCCTGAGGGTGCTCCAGGGGAATGAGAGTAGAAGCCAAGGCAGGTCGATGAGCTGGACTGAGCCCGTGCGCTCAGTGCAGCGGGGGTGTCGGCCAGGGCTGGGTCTGTGGAAGCTCGGCGGCAGACCCCAAGCGACAGGAAGGAACGGTGGGACAGACAGCGCATGATGATTCCCTCAGCAAGAAAAAGCAATCAAACTTAAGAAAAAGGGGAGAAAGGGGGCACACGGCACAGGAAACAGTCTAGGGACGAAGCAAACTCGCGCAGCAACGCGGGCGCCCAGGAAAAGCCCCGCGACAGGCAGGGCATCCCCTGGTGTGGGGCCGCCAGGCTGGGCAGGGAGAGGGCACCCGCCCTGGGCACCGGCTGTCGGGAGCCACACACACATACAGCATCAACGTCAAATCGTGCCGACGGGTATTCAGCTTTTAGAATCAATCTACAGATAAAGTAGAGAAGCTGGAACGGAACATGTTTTAAAGGAGTGGCAGAGGAGGAAGAGCTGGCCGGACTGGGAGGTGCGATGGAGATGACGGGCAGGAGCGCTGTAGCCTCACCCCCCCCCCCCCCGACCCCGCAGTTGGGGAGCTGGGAGACGCTGCCCAGAGCTGACCCAGTAAGACACAGAGTTTAAATATGTAGTTTTCAAAGGTAAACAGTCCACAAGAGGAATGAAAGATGCTATTCCTGTCAAAAATGGGTCTGGGAGTGAGGGGAACAGGAGCCAAACCCTCACCTACAACACAGCAAGTCCTTGCTGGGCAGGTCTGCGCCCGAAAATGAAGACAGGGGCCTGAGAAGTCGCTCAGCACGCGGAGCGCCCCCGCCCCGGTGGGGAGCAGGACCGGCGCCGGCTGGAGGAAGACAGCTCTCCGCAGGCACGGCCGGATGTCAGAATTCCAAAGCTCATGCACGTACAATTTTGATTCAATAACTTAATGGACTTTTTAAATAAAAACATCAAAGTCAAGTTTATTACTCTAACATTAACTGTATATATTAGTCCTCGCCCACTGTTAATATTTATCCACTGTTAAGCTTCTATAGTATTTTATTATAATGTAATTTCTAGACCAACAGAGGGGAATTTTATATTTCAGTTGTCATTTAAAGTTATATATCATAGCCCTGGCAGGTTTGGCTCCGCGGTTAGAGCGTCGGCCTACGGTCCAGAGAGGCCCGGGGTTCGGTTCCCGCTAAGGGCACGTACTTCGGTTGCAGTTTGTCCCCAGTCCTGGTTGGTCGTGTGGGTGGTAGCCACTCGATGTGTCCCTTCACATCGATGTTTCTGTCTCTCTCTTCCTCCCTCCTGCTCTATCTGAATAAAAAACAATGGAAAAATGTCCTCAGGTGAGGATAAAAAAAATAATTTTAAAAAATAGTTATATATCATAATTCACTTAATCTAAAGGATAGAATTTTCTCAGAGTTTTATGTCATTGGAATCAGGATGGATTCACATAATTAATTAGCTTTTCTTTCTGGCACATAAATTACCATGATGTCTTAAAATCAGTGGTGTCTCAGGTCTGATAAAACAGGAGAACTGCAGGATGCTGCACGTCGGGCATCTCCCCAGCGTCACAGATGAAGTCACAGGTGGCTCCACCTTCCTGTCCCTCTGCCCTTCCCACATTAGCTCCAGCCACACGCTGGTCTCCGGAGTCTCTGTGGACGCCGTGGGGCCGTGGGACCGTGGGACCAGCTGCGCGCTGGCTGGGGCGCCCCACCCCCTGGACCACTCCTCCACGGCTCCTTCAGGTCACGAGGTCTCAGCCTAAAGGTCACGCCCTGCACAAGCTTGTTGGCCACCAAACGGAAGCAGCTCTACTGCCCAGAAACAGCTCCTATCGTGTTACCCAGCGTTCCTCTCACCAAAGCCTTACCCTGCTCTTTCCCCACGTCCCTTCCTCCCTGAAGCCAAGTTCCGGGAGAGCAGAGATCTCGCCGGCCTCCCCCAGCACCACACCCCAGCCCTGGAGGCGCCTGGCCCGGAGCTCGCTTGCTTGTGTCCAGGATGAATACTTCAGAAAACAATCACTAGTCACTTGCTGAGTAACTATGTTTCAAATTTATAAATAATATCGTCTCCTTTTTCTATGGAAATGAATCTCATATGTTTAAATTATTTTGTTAGGAAGATCCATTTCTGATTGCTCTTCAGTTAAATATGATTTTAGACATATACTGACATATACCAATCCTGGAATAATTTCCATAGCATGAAACAATTCATACCATTGTTAATTTATCCGTACATATTCAAATCCACCTGCTTAAGAAGAAATAGTATCTCTCCCAAAGAAAAGATGACGTTAAAAGTACTATTTGTACTTATAATTTTATTTCCCACAGTCCAGTTCAAAGGATGAATTGAAATAAAGTTTGTCGGATATTGTAGAACATCAAACAAGGATAATGACTAACTTACCGTCAATTTAATACCTGCATTTCACATATATGACAAAAGGACAAAGTAAGAAGGCTGAAATCCTAAAAAAAGTGTATTCGCTTTTTTTTAATTCAAAAGTCCAAGATTCTTTGGGAAGTTATACAAGACTGTTTTCCAGTCAGATCATAATTTCCACAATTTCTATAGTAACCATAAATTCAAAGGTTCCTGCTCTCCCCACCCCCATCACTTTTGGCACCTATGTGTGAAATGTCACTTCTGGAAAATGGGGGGAAATGTGAACACTGGGCTTTGACGACAGCACCCCTTCCCTGACGGAAGATCTCCTGACTGCCGAAGTTAGAATACGGACTCAAGGAAGATGAACAATCTCTCACCCATAAGAGTCTTTTTCTAACTAAGTGTATGGCTGTCTCAGAAAAATAAAATGACAGAAACAGCAGCCAGTTCTCAGAGGTAAAGGAGCAATGGCTTATCCTTCCCAACTTCTCCCGATTTCAATTCAGAGTTACGAGCCACTGCAGGCAGGCCGCGGGACGTCTGGCTCGGTGGTCTCAGAATGCGGCGCGCTCACCGCGTTCCCCAGAACTCTCCTCGCCTCAGGAGCCCTCCGTGCCCACACGCACACACCTTCTCAGGACACAATGTGTGGGTTACGAGTGGAGACGAGGAGCATAACCATAGGACTAGCAATTAGGAAAGCATTTAGCAAAAGAATTTGTTTTTAATCTATGAGAAAAGTGCACCATTGATAAAGTATGCCCCTCTTGAGTCCTCATCCAGGCCATTAAAAAGAAGTCCTCCCCAAAACCAGGGCGCCACAGGAGGAAACAGCCAACAAGACAGCATTGGCCAATGTTTCAATGCAAAGAACACAACTTTCATTTCTCATAGGTGAGAAGGGTTTATGAGCTTGGTATTGACCTGTCTGGCCCAACTCAAATCGACTTGTTAGCAGCGCTTCAACCCCCGGGCACTAAGTCTGCGCCGTGTGTCGTGGGGCTGAACGGGTTTTCTGAGCGCTACTGTGAAGCCGACAAGGGCTGGGGAAGTCGTACCCCAGCCCTCCTCCCAACACCTAATAAAATAAAATGTTTTCATTTCAAGACAAAAGGTGCTAATGCTGTGAAACGGGGTGGGGGGATAGGATGCTGCCAGTCCTCTTTCGTGTTAATTAACAGTGGACTGTCCTGCCGCCAGCACTGCACACGTGGTCAAACGTCCGGAGGGAGGGAGGGGACGGAGGAGGAAGGGGCCTCCGAACCTCCTGACCAGGGCTGGTCCACTGCAAGGTCGAGGACTTATTTCTTCTGCCACCGACTCACAGTATTGCCCCATTTGAAGTCTGCGTGGATGAGGTTGGGTGAGCAGGGAGAACACCAAGAAGCGGGCTACAGTCTCTCTGAACGACCCCGTCCCTCGTGCAGCGGACTGCACCGCCCCCGTGGCATTCACAGTAAGCAACATCTTTCTTTAAAACTTTTCTTGTTCTTGCTGCTTTTCTTGCCATTCTTGTCCTTGTTCTCTGACATCTTCTTTGCTCTGATTTCTCTCATTAGATCAAAGAACACCTGGGGCGAGGAGGAAGGGGTGAAAAGAGAAGGAAGGAAAAAGCCATTAATGGTTTTAGGAAGCAACCCGACTAAACACAAAGCCATACTCATTCTTATAAACCACATGCCACCAAAACAAAATGTCTACAGCACATAATAATTAACATTAAAAACATATTCTAATTCATCAAAGACCATCTCGGCCCATATCACACAACTGGCCAAACTAAGGACAGAAGCATCATATTGTTACTGCCATTCAACAGCTTATTTCAAAATAAAACCTTTTCTTCTGATAAGCACAGTGAAGGATGGAACAGCACAGAACAGACTTACCACAGTTTGTAAAGTAACAGATACTGAGAGTGACAAGAGTAATCGGACTTTCTAGCATTGCCAACCACCAGAAAAGGAACATAATGTAAGTGCCTGTACCTAATTTAATCCTTGCGAGTGATAGCACTGTACTCAGCTAGATGTTAATAGGAAAGGAGCACAGGGAAGGCCAGACATCACAGGTGTGTCGCGGGCAGCTTCACCCTCCCCAGGGAATCACCGGCCCAGTCCCTGCAGATCACTGGGGGCAGGGGTCCAATAAAAGGGGGCCAAATGCATGTGCAGTGAAGTCGAGGTGACACAGGGAAGGTACGTGCCTGTCAGTCACACCTGGGAACAGAGATCATGGCCTAGAGAAGGTGGGGCCCCTGCAAGTCCATGAAAATTTGGGAATAAATAATCACAAAGCAAAGGAGTTCAGTCTCTTGTGTGACTCTCCGTGCTCTTGGCTCCCTGGTTCCTTTGGCTTTGCTCCTGCCTGTGCTTCCTCCATAGCCTGTGGCCCCATGCACCCCACAGGCGATGGACTGGTGGACTGCGGTGGGGAGCACAAACTAGGCTACCTGACCCTGAACTGAACTATATCCCAATATGGAGCCCAAACTCTGGGCAATGGCTTTGATCCTGGCTTTGCTGAAGCCACAGCTACACTTCTATGGTCAGGCAGAGGGAATGGGACCTTGAAACTCAGATATAATTCCACAGAAATAAAGCTTTCCACGATTTCTCATCCTCTCGTGTGAGTCATCACGAGAGGCCCACTCCCACCAGCAACCGGTGGGGGCCGAGCAGCCCACCCTCCACTCCTTGCAGTGTGAGTTGAAAGGAACTTTATCTGGACTGATGAGACTTGTCCTTTGAATGCCAGTGTGCCATTTAGATACAGACTATCACTTGTCACAACAGCTTGGGTTTTGCCCTCTGCTCCCAGCAAAAGTACTGCTTATACCCAAGCAGACAAATAAGCCCCCAAAAGAAACATTTGTGATTTCTCCTAGAGGGCGATGGGCAAAGGGGGGACTGGGTGTGGGCTTTTATCTTTGGTCGCTCACACAAGCCACAAGCTCCCGTGTCCTCACAGGCACGCCTGCACCCGGGGAGCAAGGCCGGCTCGAGATGGGACCGGGAGCATTTCACCAGCTCGGGGCACAGAAGGACTCCCTCCAAACTGGAGCAGGCTGATGTGAGCACCCCTTTTCTGCAGCTTCTCGGGAAAGCACCCCTCCCCTAGCAGCAGCAGCGAAGAGCTTCCAGTGTTACAGGTTTTCCTTTTTGTTCTAACAAAAGGCAGGAGGAGGGGAATGGAGTGTGGCCAACTGAAAATGATGACAAATTTGTTCATCAGCTGATCTTATCAACAACCTCCTTTCCTGTAAATTGTTTACTGATGAATACAATGCTGCCAGTCAGACATTTCTGCTGGTTCTGGTCTGGCAGGTCCAGCTGGTCCGGTGGAGGAAGGAGAGATGACCGCCACTGTGCAACAGCCCTGGCCCAACGTAAGCGCCGGGGCAACAAGGCCAAGAACAGGCGGCTGAGAGTGAACACACTCCACGCTGCAGACGCCGGCAGACGCCGACGGCGCAGGTGCTGGCAGAGGGCTTCTCGGGCAGCTGCGCCAGCACAGCCCTGGGAACACCAGCGCCCCCGGCACCCCTCACGCTGAAGCGGAACTCGGTCCCGATCTCGCCCTCTTCGGGTTAGAAGTACGGGAGAGTTTCATCTGTCAGAAGGAGGGACGCAACAGCGATGGGGGCAGCTGCTGCTGCTGCGGGCAGGCGCGGCCACCGCCCGCGGCCACGGTGAGCTGGATCTCACGACAGCGAGAGCTGACAGCAGGCGACGGCGCAGGGAAGGTTGTCACTTTAGCTCTGTAACAACACTGTGAACCTACATTTTTTAAAAGGCCTAACAATAGCCATCACTGGTAGGTGAATTTTCAATTTGTCATTGTTCATGATCAACCATTTCACTAGCTTCAGAGATTTGAAAGAGAAAGTATGCTGAACCTAGGTAAGGAACAGAAAAATCCCTGGAGAGGTGACTCCTGCGGGCAAATGCTATTCAGAGGCTCAGTGATAAAGACAGAGCCTTGGCTGTGCCTGTGGAAGGCCAGGTGGAAAGAATAAATCGAACTGCCCTGGCCGGGTGCTCAGTGGTTAGAGCGTCGGCCCACGGACCAGTCTCATGTTCAATTCTGGTCAAGGGCATGTACCTTGGTTGCAGTTCAATCCCTGGCCCTGGTCAGGGTTGTGCAGGTGGCAACCAGTCGATGTGTGTGTGTGTGTGTGTGTGTGTGTGTGTCTCCCTCCCACTGTCTGAAAATCCAATAGAAAAAATATCCTCAAGTGAGGACTAAAAACTAAAAGAAGAAAAAATCTAACCAATAACTCAAAGTGAGCAAATGAGCACACACGAGTTTCTCTGGGGAGCCCCGAGCCGACAGAGCCCGCCCTGGAAGGAGGACGGGAGCACGAGGACGCTGCACAGAAGCCTCACTGCACATCGGGAATGTTCCACGACTCAGAGCGAACAGGAAGCCAATTTCCCACAGGCTGCCGGAACGAGCTGAGCGCCTACGGCATCCCAGCCGTCATCACGGACGGCCTGGACGACGTGGTACGCGCACTGTTACCTGGACCAGCTGTGCTCCATGCGCCCTTCCGGCACAGTCTTCACGAACCAAGGCTCATCTAGCACATTCCCAGGGCTGAGCCAACATCAGCTGACTCACACAGCTCATGACAAAGTGAAGGACTCAGTTGTTTTAAAACCAGGATCAAACCCTCCCAGCTTCTCATTGTAACAACACAGACATCTGGAAAAATGCCTAGTTTCCATAAATGGTTCCCTTAAAACCAAACAGATGAAACATCTGGGTCTGCTGTTTCTCAAGTCTGTTCCCGAGACGACAGCGCACCTTGTCCACGTTGGCCCGCGTCTTGGCGGAGGTCTCCACGTACTGCACGCCCCACTCCTCCGCCTTGCTCCGCGCCTCCTCCACCGGCACCTGCCTCCGCTCCTCCAAGTCCGACTTGTTTCCCACCACAAGCAATGGAATTTTATCTTCTTCAGCCTTAACGCGGAGGATCTGTTCCCTGAGGCATTACAGAAAAAAGGAAGCCAACTAGAATGAGACGCTTTCCACGGGCAGAGCTGCTATGCTTACGGCAGGTCCCAAGGACACATTCGTTAGAGCCTGTCATAGTTAGATAAGGGTTTTCAAAGTCTGGCTCTGAGAACGACCTGAAGTGCCCCTCACGGATGACGCTGTCTGGGCCCCACGCTGCCCAACAGAAGCAATGTCTGCTGGGGAGCCCAGGAGTCGCATTTCAACAGGGTCCCCAATTTATGGTGAGGTTAAAGAAGAAATATATACCATGGGGACCTCTAGGATAAAAACAAGCTGAAAGTAGTATCTTCAGCTCTGGCCAGTTTGGCTCAGTGGTAGAGCGTCAGCCTGCAAACCAAAGACTTGTGGGTTCGATTCCAGTCAAGGGCGTACCTCGGTTGCGGTTCATCCCCAGCCCTGGTCGGGGTCGGGTGGGAGGCAACCAGTTGATATGTCCCTCTCATGTCGATGTTTCTCTCCCTCCCTCCCTCCCATTCTATCTGAAGATAAAATAGAAAAATATCCCCAGGTACGGATTAAAAAAAAAAGTATCTTCAGACATAAAATTATTAATAATCCCCCTGGAGATCATGAAATCAATTCAGGGTCACAACCAGTCGGAGGGAGCCTCTCGCAGTGAAGTCAGTATGCTCTGTGAAGCTTCTGTTGTGATTCCGTCCGTGTGTGTGCCCCTGCCTCCCCCACCCTCCCCGCCCCCACCCCACCGCAGTCCCATGTAGACACAGTGAATGTTACAGGCCACAGAGTGGGACAGTTATGTGAGGCAGAAATTATATTTAATGTGCATTATTTTTCCACACAAAGAAAAAAAAAAAGAAATACTCAAGGTCCATAAAAAACTACCTCAAAAACAACTTTTCTAAATAAGCTGTTACTTATATTAAATTTTACCTCTACTGAAAATAATCAGCTATGTAAAGTTATTCATCAAGTATGTAAAGACATCAACTATCCCCCTGCACTGCGCTGCCCGTGCAAACCACCTCCCCACTCGGTCCTCCCAGGGGCCCTTCTCAACGATCCCCCTGCACTGCGCTGCCCGTGCGAACCACCTCCCCACTCGGTCCTCCCAGGGGCCCTTTTCAACACACTGTGCGGAGACTCCTGCTGATTTGTATGTGATACACAATAACATTTTATAATAAAAATATTTTTTAAGTTTTCCACATAGTCAACTGAAGTACCAGATATCAAATCTTTTAAGAAAAATGAAAAGGAAAAAAAGTCAGATGCTTGGAAATTGCCATCCCCCACATACCGACAGGGGTCAAAGAGCACTCTACATTTAGAAGTTGTGTGAACAATATAAACTACGAACAAAAAAAAAACTGATAGCTTTCTGGCTCTTTAATCTTGCACAGGCAAATAAAATTACCTCATTAATAAACATATTGATTCAAAAACAGAAGTACCAAAACCTATTTCTCTAGTTTATAGAATATGTCCAGGGAAAATTTCAAGATAGACTATATTAACATTGGTTTTATGTTGGGGTCTTACAATCTGGAAGATACAGAAATGCCACGTGTTAAAACTGTGAACAGGCATAAAGTAAAATGCCTGAGTGTAACCACGACGACTCAGAGGACCCTGAGCCCCATGCCGTAAGAACGTGGGCAGCTCCGAGACGGGCATCTACATGTCAAAGCTCAGGTCAGCCCTGGCCGGTTTGGCTCAGCGGTTAGAGCGTCGGCCTGGTCCAGAGAGACCCGGGTTCGGTTCCCGCTAAGGGCACGAACCTCGGTTGTAGTTTGTCCCCGGCCCCGGTTGGGTCGTGCAGGAGGCAGACTACTCAATGTGTCCCTTGCACGTCTATGTCTCTCTCTCTTACTCTCTCCCTCCCACTCTGTCTGAACTAAAAATAGAAAAATGTCCTCAAGTGAGAATTAAAAACAAAAGCTCAGGCCAGAAGCACCACCTGCCCTCCTTCTAAGGACCCTCTTCTCGAGCAGCAACCAAGCCCTCTCCCAAGTAAGATGAGACTGCCCCAACTGTCTGAGAGTAAACAAACAGTGAGCATGAGCATGTGTGAGTGTGAGTGTGTGTGAGTGAGCATGTGTGAGTGAGTGTGAGCGTGTGAGCATGAGTGTAAAAGCATGTGTGTGTGAGCATATGTGAGAGTGTGAGCGTGTGTGTGAGCATGTGTATGAGCACGCATGTGTGAGCATATGTGAGAGTGTGAGCGTGTGTGAGAGTGTGTGAGCGTGCGTGTGAGCATGTGTGAGTGTGTGTGTGAGCGTGTGTGTGAGCGTGTGTGTGGGTGAGAGTGTGTGTGAGTGTGTGTGTGTGTGTGTGTGGTAATCCAGAGAAGACAGGACTAGGGTGGCAAGGGCGGCGCCACCTATTCTCTGGAGACGACTCCCCTATGCCCAGCGTTTCCTTTGGGCAAGTCAGAGCGACAGGAGAGGACAGGGCTCAGAGAGGAAAGAACAGCAGCAGCGTGTGCGTCTGTCCTGCTTTACGGTGAGGCGCATGAAGGCAGGGTTCTGCAGCTGCCGACAGCCATGACTCCCATACAGAACCCTCAAGGGACGGCAGGAAAGCAACCGGACTTCTCACGCGGAGACCGAGTCACCTGATGGACAGCACACACGCCATAGGTCCAGAGACCTGAGACAGCCTGCGCGTCCTCCCTGACCCCTCCCACCCCCTCGGCTGCCGAGGCTGCCTGGCTCACTCGTGCTCCCTTCCAAATCTTGGGGGGATACTTGGCTTCCTCATTTTCATCTTAATTTCTGACCAGATTTGCTAAAAGATGAAAAAACTTACTGTGCTTTTCTTTCTTTCTTTTTTTAATCCTCACCCAAGGATATTTTTCTATTTATCTTCAGATAGGGAGGGAGAGAGAGGGAGAGAGAGAAACATCGACATGAGAGAGACACATCGACTGGTTGCCAGGAACAAACCGCAACCGAGGGACGTGCCCTTGGCCGGAATCGAACCCGTGACTCATTGGTCCATGGGCCGACGCGCTACCCCTGAGCCAAACCGGCCAGGACGCTTTTCTTTCTTTTTTTAGTTCCCTGTCAGACTCTAGGAAGGGCATGGGGTAAAGAAAACAATACCCTTCCCATTAGAATTCCCATAAGAATTATGCCTAATGGCTCACTATCTCCTCGTAACAAAATTAACTAAGGTACCTTGACCATCTTTTCAAATGCATTACAGTAGTGACTATTCCACCCGTGCTGGAAGGACCATGTGACCACAGAGCCGGTCTGGGCTACAACACAGCGAAGGGGGGCCAAGTCCCTGCCCTTAAGGAATTCACGTCTAAGCACCCCGAGCCGGGTGAGCGGCGGGGCCACGGCAGGTCTGCCTGATTCTGAAGGCGCGCTCGCTCCTCAGCTCCGGGGTCCTCCGGGGCAGCCACACCCCCTCTGCTCACCACTCTCCCGCCTCAAAACAGATCGAACTTGTCCTTTTCTAGCAAACATAGAAAAGAGATACATTTGCTCTTATCAAACACCATGTCTCAGGATTTATATGAAAACGAAGCGGCAGGTTCTTGAACGTACAGAATGGCTTTGTCCCTCTCAGGGACAACAGACTCAGAAGATAATTTATATTTAGAAACTATTATAAAACAGGGAAGTGCAAAGAGATGGTAACAAATAGTGAACTATAATGTGCCAAGGTACAAAGAGCCCCAGAAAATTATTTAGAGGGATTCTTCCTAAGCCCCACTGCCATGCTGAACCCCGAATTCCCGACGCCCACCTGAACTCGGCCGTGGCCGCGAACGACTCGTGCTCCGTGATGGAGAAGACCAGGAGGAAGCCCTCCCCGCTGCGGAAGTAGTTGTCGCGGATGGCCGCGTAGTCCTCCTGCCCCGCCGTGTCCAGAATGTCGATCTGCACTTCCTCTCCGTCGAGAACCACCTTCTTTCTGTAACTGTCAGCTTTGGTAGGTTCATAGTCTTCTACAAACTGAGGAAACGACATCATCGGTGATTAACAAAGTTTTAAGGGAAATAAAATCTGCCAAAAAAGACATGTTGCCCTGGCTGGTGTGGCTCAGTGGTGGGAGTGTCAGCCACGCACCAAACAGCGGTGGGCTTGATTCCGGTCAGGGGCATGTACCTGGGATACAGGTTCAATGCCCAGCCCCGGTCAGGGTCGTACAGGAGGCAACCAGTCGATGTGTCTCTCCCACATCAATGTCTGTCTGTCTGTCTCTCTCTCTCTCTCCCACCCACTCTCCTCCCTCCTTTCCACTCTATCTAAAAACCAGTGGAAAAATATCCTCAGGTGAGAATAAAAACAAAATTTAAAACAGTGCTCTTTGGCATAACATACAATAAACCAAGACAAATGACAAGTATTTGAAGCCCTTATCACAAGGAGCTATATATGAACAGTTCCCACAAAAAGAAAGGAGAAAAAAAGATCAACAATCCAATGGGGAAAAGTGGCAATAAACATAAACAATTCACAGAAAAGTAAATACATATGATGTTAAACCTATGAAAAGACGTTCAACCTCACTGGTAAAGAAAACAAAAATTGTAACTACACTGAGGTACCAGCTCTCACCTACAAGCATGGCAAAACTGCCAGAGCCCACAATGCACTGGGAGAGGCATCCTTGCACACTCAGTGAAGGACAGAGCCCAATCCCGATGGACCAACACGCTAGCATCTCACAGAACTAGAGAAGTGCTCATGTTCTGTCCCCCCAGCTGCTTCTATAGGACCTGACCTACAGAACACCTGCACAGCAACACTCCAGCGTTCACTGCGGCACTGTGTGTCACAGCACAGGGTGAAACGCCACTCAGATGCCCAGCAATAGGCACCCACATAATGGAATACTATGCAACTGTGAAAAATAAGGAAGAAAATTATGTACTGATATATAAAGATAATCAGAATGACCCTGGCCGGTTTGGCTCAGCAGTTAGAATGTTGGCCCGTGGACCGACAAGTCATGGGTTCGATTCCGGTCAAGGGCACGTACCTTGTCTCCAGCCCTGGTCGGAGTCATGCGGAAACAACCAGTTGATGTGTCTCTCTCATGTCCATGTTTCTCTCTCTCCCTCTCTCTCCTTCCCTCCCACTCTATCTGAAGATAAATAGAAAAACATCCTCGGGTGAGGAGTAAAAAAAAGATAATCAGAATATAACAATCTACCTTTTGCACAAGGGAAGTAGGGAAATAAAAAAATAATAAGTATAGCCCAGCTGGTGTGGCTCAGTGGTTGAGCAAAGACCCATGTACCAAGATGTCGCCAGTTCAATTCCCGGTCAGGGCACATGCCCAGGTTGTGGGCCAAATCCCCAGTGGGGGGCATGCAGGAGGCAGCCAATTGATGTTCTCTCTCATTGGTGTTTCTATCTCTTTCTCCCTCTCCCTTCCTCTCTCTCTAAAATCAATAAAGAAAAAAAAGAGGTACATAATATACACATGTATAAAATACATGTATATTATGTGTGTGTACATATCTCTTAATGTGTATGTGTGTATGTACCAAACAAAAGAATAAAAATTTTAAAGCTTTTAAACAGAAAAATTGAAGCTAAATGAACCTAAATGAATATTAAATGGTTAATATAGTCACAGAGTGAAAGAATTCAAGAGCCTTTGGAACAGATATTTTAATAGAATGCATCCCACTAAAAGAGACTAATGACAAAAAATATCAAAGAAATGTTAAGAAACACCCCTCAGTGTTGGTAATACTTAGTAATAACGAAATTAATTCTTCAAAGCTATTTTATTTATATTGTATTACACATCGAATAAGTAATTGTCTAAATGATGCCAGATTCAAGCTATTCAGAAAAAAAGTAAATTAATGAGAGTACTGTACTATTAAAATTAAACTAGAGCTGGTTTAACTGGATATCCACACACTAAACAATGAATCTGGACCCCACTTTACATCACATACAAAAACTAACTCAAAATGGGGCAAAGACCTAATGTAAGAGTCAAGACTATAAACTCTTAGAAGAAAACATAGGTGTAAATCTGTATGAAAAATGCGTTCTTAGATATGACACCAAAAACACAAGCAGTGAAAGAAAAAAATGGGATTCATCAAAATTTAAAACGTTCATGCTTTAAAGGACGCCATCAAGAAAGGAAAAGATAACCAACAGATGGAAAAAAATATCTGTGAGTCATATTTCTAAAAAAAGGCTTGTATCCAGACTATATAAAGAACTCTTAAAACTCAACAATGAGCCCTGGTTGGTTTGGCTCAGTGGTTGGAGCGTCGGCCTGCGGTCCAGAGAGACCCGGGTTAAGTTCCCGCTAAGGGCACCTACCTTGGCTGCAGTTTGTCCCCAGCCCTGGTTGGGTCGTGTGGGTGGCAGCCACTCGATGTGTCCCTTTCACATCGATGCTTCTCTCTCTCTCTCTCTCTTCCTCTCTCTCCCTCCCACTCTATCTGAACAAAAAAATGGAAAAATGTCCTTAGGTGAGGATAAAAAAAAAAAAATAGGCTAAGTGCTTAAATAGATATTACTCCAAAGCAGATATACAAATGGCCAAGAAGCACATGAAAAGGTGCTCTAAATCATTAATCATTAGGAAAATGCAAATCAAAACCACAATGGAGTGCCCTGGACAGTGTGCTCAGTGGTTAGGGCATCGGCCTGCACACCACAGGGTCTCAGATTGGATTCCCAGCCAAGGGCATGTACCTGAGGCTGGATCCCTGGCCCTAGTCGGCGTGTTCGGGAGGCAACCAATCGATGTGTCTCTTTCACATTGATGTTCCTCTTTCTCTCCCCTTCCCTCCCTCCATCCCTTCCACTCTCTCTAAAAATCAATGGAAAAATATCCTCAGGCAAGGATTTAAAAAACCACAATGAGATATCACTTCACAACTACTAGGGTGCTATAAGAAAGTCGGCAATAACAGTGCTGATGAGAATGTGGAGAAACTGGGACTCTCAAACACTCCTGGTGGGAATAATACCAAGGCCCCGCTGCTGTGGAAAGCAGTTCTGCAGTTCCCAAAAAGTTATACATAGAGTTAACATATGACCAGCCAACTCCTTGCCTAGATTTTCACCCAAGCGAATTTAAGACATATGTGTACACAAAGATTTATATACACAAGTGTACACAGCAACAGTATCATAGTAGCCAAAAAGTAGACACAATACAAATGCCTGTCAATTGATGAATGAATATCCAGATACTGGAATACTATTCAGTCATAAAAAGGAATGAAGGACTGATTCATGCCACCACATGGTGAACCCTGACAAATTATGGTAAGTGGAAGAAACCAGACACAAATGGTCACATATTATATGATTCCATTCCCATACAATGTCCAGAATAGGAAATCCATAAACCAGAGCGCTGCCAGGGCCGGGGGAGGGGCAGGCGGGGAAGGCCTGCTCCAGGAGCAGTGGGCAGAGGGGCGAGGAAGTGCACCGAGTGGGGAAGCCTGCACGTCTGTGCGACTCTACACGGATGGATGTCATGGTGTGTGAACTGCAGCTTAATAAAACTTTAACTTAAATTGTTAAAGATTTAAAAATTGAATTGAAAATATCAAAACGAACCTATGGGCCCTTTGAAAAAAACTCTTGAAAAGAGCCCTGCATTGCCAATTAGAAGCTACCAGTTCAAATGATTTTAAATCTAAAAATAAAAATACTACAAGATTTTTAATGTGGGTTCTCTCATATTCATCCTAATAATTATCTTAAAATACAGAAAATGTAAACATTTGCCTATGCTTCACAACAGTGTCCTTCTTGTAGGGACTTCCAAAAAGACAAGCACATGCCCAGCCTGGCTCCCACCCACGCCGCCATCAGAGCAAATCCCCGATACCTCCGTGAGGCACCTCAGCGCGCCTCTGAGCTTCCAAGGCGAACCCCTCTCCACTGGCGCTCGCACACTGCGTCAGATTGTCCCAACACGACCGCGCACCTCTGTGCTAGGGACGTGTGCTTATTATTAGAACGCTAGATTACAACCTCGATGTTTACATTTTCCACAGGAACAGGAAATCCCCAGTCACAGTATCTGCTAGGATGAATCACACCACTGGCCTTGCAGGGCTGTGCAATTCCGTTCCAGATGCCCAGGGCACACTCCTCCAGACGAACTTCACTCCCCCTCTGCACGGAGCGGACCCGTCGAAGCTGCCTCTGCCCAGACGAACTTCACACTCACCTCTCTGCACGGAGCGGGCCCCTTCTGCCCAGGTGAACCTCACACTCAGCCCTCTGCACTGAGCGGGCCCCCTCTGCCCAGACGAACCTCACACTCAGCCCTCTGCACTGAGCGGGCCCCCTCTGCCCAGGTGAACTACCCACTCAGCCCTCTGCACTGAGCGGGCCCCCTCTGCCCAGGTGAACCTCACACTCACCCCTCTGCACGGAGCTGGCCCCCTCTGCCCAGGTGAACCTCACACTCAGCCCTCTGCACTGAGCGGGCCCCCTCTGCCCAGGTGAACCTCACACTCAGCCCTCTGCACTGAGCGGGCCCCCTCTGCCCAGGTGAACCTCACACTCGGCCCTCTGCACTGAGCGGGCCCCCTCTGCCCAGGTGAACTACCCACTCAGCCCTCTGCACTGAGCGGGCCCCCTCTGCCCAGGTGAACCTCACACTCAGCCCTCTGCACTGAGCGGGCCCCCTCTGCCCAGGTGAACCTCACACTCGGCCCTCTGCACTGAGCGGGCCCCCTCTGCCCAGGTGAACTACCCACTCAGCCCTCTGCACTGAGCGGGCCCCCTCTGCCCAGGTGAACCTCACACTCACCCCTCTGCACGGAGCTGGCCCCCTCTGCCCAGGTGAACCTCACACTCAGCCCTCTGCACTGAGCGGGCCCCCTCTGCCCAGGTGAACCTCACACTCAGCCCTCTGCACTGAGCGGGCCCCCTCTGCCCAGGTGAACCTCACACTCGGCCCTCTGCACGGAGCGGGCCCCCTCTGCCCAGGTGAACTACCCACTCAG